GTAAATTCTCCTAACTGCATGTCTGAGAAAACGACTTTCTCCGACATCTGCTAGCCGCTAATATAAATAAAATAAAATAAACAACTAATAAAAAAGCTAATAAAAATAAATAAAGTGTATGTGTATAAGCGTCGTCAAATTTACTATACAGCTTTATGAAAACATTTAATCATTGTCTCCTTTTCCTTTTCTTATACATTACTATTTTATTTACCGGTATTATATCGGATTCATACCGGTATTATACCGAAACACATCTACCGACTTAACATCGTTATACCGATATTCGCCATATCTCGGTTTCATCAAACCGGTATCGAATAGTAACCTAAAAATACCGGTACTTTTCCGGTATCCGTAATACCAATTCGGTCTCTGATATAGACGCTCTCCGCTGATGCGAGCCTGTTTTATCCCTTTTGGGATTTTGACCGCGCAATAGGAAGGCACCGAATATAACGGTTCGTGGTCATCGGCCGAGCAGCGAAAACAATAAACAATATGCGCGTGGCATACGTTAGGTTGGCATGAAGGCAGAGCCGTTGCCTTTGGCTTGTTAAGATTAAAATACAATAATAATTTCTTCATGCGGACAAGAACTCCGATCGTTTCCATTTTTTTTTTTTTTTTTTTCTTTATATACGCGATGGCAATTTTAATCTGAAGCTCGTGCAAATGTAGGACGCCTGACGTCACAATTCGATAATTACTTCGCTTCGCTTCGCGTCCGAAGATCACGATTAGTTTACGTAACGCGAGAGTTACTCACAATCAACGAAAATCAAATTGAAAGACGTAACGTAAGACATAATTGTATTTCATTTGAAGCGCTAAAGAGATAATCTCTGTGTTTCGATAAAACAGTGAAAAACATTTCTATATCGCGTCATATATAGCTACTCGATACAATCAATAGAATTTTGTTCGAAGCGATCGTTTGACGCAGTGCAATTACGTGCAACGATTATGTTTTTCCTAGAATCAGAATGAAGTTTTCGTTACTCATATCACGTCCATCACGATGTTTTCCAGGAAGTATTACGTATTTACATGCTACGTGCCTTGGAGCAAGACAAAATGGATAGCACAATAAAGAATTTACTATGTGAATAACTATTTGGAACGAGCTTGTCAGTTTCGTCTGTCTGATAAGCTCGAGATAATATGGTTACGGGAGAAACAAGATGCTAAATGATTTTTTTTTTTTCTTTATTAACCACGCTGTTTCTGTTTTTACACTCGAAAATGTATCGAAAAAAAGGATTTTGTACGAAAGGAATGAGTAATTCATTAATATCGAGATAGTATCTCCTCGAGCCAATCTACCCAGATATGGATATTGTTCAATTAGCGATCGATGATTTGAAATTTTCCTCTTCGGCAATGATGCAGCAAAATGTCTAATAGCGATATACACAAGCGCGATAGGCTATCACGAGTGATACAGCTGGTTATAAAAACGATGGTAGTACGACCGTGACACAGCATAGCTGGCGTAAATTGGGAGGGAGTTGGAAGACATTGAGACGTTCCTGCACGTCGAAGACATAGTTCCCCTGTATAAAACTGGTTTTCATCGTGTGGCCTTTGTACAATTAGTCTGCTGTCAGAGTGAGCGTCGTCACGCCATTACAGTCACTCGCCGCTGCGTGGATACGATGGACTACATACCGATCGCTTTGTCGCTGGTGGCAGTGCTCGTTGCCCTCTATTACTTTACCACGAGGAATCACAATTTGTTCAAGAAGCATGGAATCGTGCACGTTCCGCCGTCACCGCTGTTTGGAAACATGGGATCGTTCGCAAGACGGCAGATCACCATGTCGGATTTGATTATCAAGACTTATCAATTGGATCCCAAAGCGAAATACGTCGGTTTCTACGAATTTCTCACGCCGATAATAGTGCTGCGCGATCTGGATCTGATCAAGGCTGTCACCATGAAAAACGTCGAACATTTTCCAGACCATCGTTCGCTGGTGAACAGAAAAGTAGACCCCATGATAGGAGGAATGTTATTCATGCTGAATGGTGACCACTGGAAGGATCACAGGAACATGTTGTCGCCGACATTCAGCTCCAGCAAGATAAAAACCATGTTCAGACTGATGTCGGAATGCGCGAGCAGATTCGCCGAGCATTTGTCGAATCTGCCCGAGGAGAAGCGCGAAACGGAGATGAAGAGTCTGTTGACGAAATACACGAACGACATGATCGCCAGCTGCGTCTACAGTGTGTCCATCGACTCTATCAAGGAACCGAACAACGTGTTCTACGAGTACGGTAAATTAAGCACGTCGACAACGTCGTTCAAGTGGTCCCTGAAGTTGCTGGTACACAGAAACGTTCCTTGGTTAGCGGAGCTGCTGCAACTCAACTTCGTGGATAGTCGCATTGCCAAATTTTTTTACAACCAAGTGGCAGAGACGGTGGAGACCAGGCAACGGACCGGCGCTCGCAGGTCCGACATCCTGCAGCTGTTCATGGATAATAACAAGAAAAGAGAGCCGGGGAAAGAGATGACCGTGCAAGAGATGGCGAATCACGCGTTCAGCTTCTTTTTCGGCGGTTTCGACAGCGTCGCGTCGCAGACCTGCATAGTGGCGCACCTGTTGGCCGAGAATCCGGACGTTCAGGAAAGAGTGCAGCAGGAGATCGACGAGACATTAGAAAATAACAACGGAGAGCTGACCTACGACGCGATACACGAGATGAAGTACCTGGTCGCGGTGATCAATGAAACCTTACGACTTTATCCGATCGGCTCGTTCATTGACAGAATGTGCGTCAAAGACTTCGAACTGCCACCGGCGCGTCCCGGCGACAAACCGTTTATCGTCAAGGCCGGGATGAACGTCTGGATTCCCGTGAGTGCGATCCACCAGGACCCGAAGTACTACAAGAATCCCTTGAAATTCGACCCGGATAGATTCTACGAAAATAAGACGATCACCAATTCTGGCACGTTTCTGCCGTTCGGTCTTGGGCCGAGGATGTGCATCGGCAACCGTTTCGCGTTGACGGAGATGAAAGTGCTGCTCTGTCACGTTCTCGCCAAGTGCAATATCAAGCTCGCGTCGAGAACGATCACCCCGTTACAGTTGAAGAAGGGTGTGTTTAACGCCACTGGGAGAAACGGATTCTGGCTGGCTGTCGAACCGAGGAAAAGTTCTTATTGTTTCTCCACCGTTTCCGCCAGCGCTGTTTCCTGCAATTGAACGTGAAACGAAAATGTTACCTATATTATGCATGTAGATGTTTGATCGGATGTACGACTTCAACATGGGAAAATAAAGATTTTTTGGCAGAAATTTTCTTTCGGATCGTTAAACCACTGACGTCGTAACGTGCTTCATAAAAATCCGTTCATCTGCGTGGAGCAGTTCCGCAATCTTGCAATTCATTGAAAATCGGAAGTTATCGATACGGTTTTAATGTAATGGAACGACCGTTTGACTCGCATTCTATTTGTAAAATTCGACTCTCAACTTTTTATTGGTAGAAAAAATAATGAAAAGTCTGTTTTCTATGAGAGATAAAGCCTCTGTGATTTTTGGCTCATAAATTAAAGTATTTACTTCGTATATCTGTGTACAAAGTGGGTTAATTTGCGTGTTATAACGATGACAACTTTTCTGCTACAGTTTTATCGCAATATACAGCATGTATTGTGGCCGCTTTGGCTAATTTTATTCCGCCGCGTATGATTTAAATTAAAATTCGACAGGGTTTAGCATATCAAGATGATACTCGATGTTTTCTTACGCGATGTTTTTCTCAGATGTTCTTGGTCGTCCACTCCTCCCTTTATCGAGCACTGTTCCTGTCTCCATAAATTTCTTGTGCCATGCACGAATTGATGGACGTGACGGTGGATTTCTTCCTTACTTGGTTCTGAAGTTTCGCTGAGTCTGCAGATTTGTGTTGGTTTCAATAAACCATGATACACACTGTGACTTCTCTTGAGGTGTAGCCATTTTGTAAGGGATTTATTTAACAGCGTCTTATTTGTCAACAGGGTACCTGAAATGCAATGTGATAAAAACCTTGATAACCACTGAGTACATGGAACAAATCTGATGAAGATATCAATTGCCTTTGTAATACATTTTTGAAATTGTAGAGAGACTTTATGGACAGCCACATGATGTTTCGAACAAAGATACGGGACATCACTAATCTAAAGCAGAGGATTACTGATGCCATTGCCACCATTAAGGAGGGTATGCTACAGCGAACATAGTAAGAAATTGAGCACAATCTTGATGTGCTTTGTGTAATTAATAGTGCCCATATAGAGGTGTATTAAATGAAGCAAAAGAAACTTAAATATGTACGTCTCATTCTGTAATAATTTACACATGTTTGTCTTTTCATTTGCCTTATATTAATAAATTTTTGAAATTGTATAGAGACTTCATGGACATCCCGTATAGTATCTATCTGGCTGCTGGACATTAACGTATACTTTGCTACGAATGTATAATTCATCGTAGGCAAAATTCACCGTAGTGACGTCAACAGAAATCTTTACGAATTTTTCGAAAACTGGTAGAAAGAAAAGGCTGTTCAAAATGTTGATTTCTACAATATGATCTTTGGAAATCATTGACATGGAAGCTTTTCTACAGATTCGTCCACTTATTCGCTGGAAGGACGTATGCGTACAAATTAGTGCCCGAATAATACAACAAATCAGAAAAATCACGAGAAAAGATATTACGGATAAATAAAAAGCCGGTCAAGAAAAGAGTATTCTTGTCGTTAATATTCAAGAGAAACAATCGTACATTCGTACCATGCATATATTATACATATCTCTTCTCTGTATCAGCAAAGATATCTCAATGTTAAAAAGCAGTTGGATGTTATCGTTGTTTGCTTCAAAATTTGTGAATTCGTGCAAACTTCGTGCAACTAATGGTGTTCATATAGAAGTGTATTGAATGAGGAAAAATAAAACTTAAATATATACGTCTCATTTTCTAATAATTTCTACTTATCTGTCTTTTCATTTGTCTTTGTAACAAGTTTTTTAAATTGTAGAGACTTTATGGACACCCTGTATATTTACACGAGTATACGATCAATGTCCAATAAAGAGATTCTAACTCGATTTATTTCACGACACCTTGAACAACCTTCCCACAAATGCATCAGTAACATTCCTGAAAAAAACGAAAATGAAGGTAATGCCCTCATCGCATAATATCTGATAATACAAACAATAAAAATTCTATTAGCGCACTATTGACTTCCGTGCTCCTACTTTGTTAGACCTTTTAATAGCCAGGCGGTTTTGCATGGACGATGAAAAGGATATCGACTATATCGACGTAACGTAAGATTTGTTTTTCCTTGCATGGAAGAACATTTATATTACGTAAAATACTTTTGTGCGAAGTGCATCACTTTCCTCGTTTTTCTCCTGAAGCTACTCTAACGCACGGTTAACCTATTTTTCTTTTGTGTTACGATCGAGTTCTCAACATACGTATCTAAAGAAGTCTTTAACAATGACAACAAAAATGATGTAGTAATTATGCGTTGAGGAAATAATAAACTTTCCGAGATATGTACTACACACTTGAATTTGGAATATACGCTCTTTACTTTTCACTTTCTTTCTATGCACGTTGATTTACTGATGGGCGATACAATATCCAAATATTGATATTTTATATCGATATTTAATGTAACTCGCTGCTGTGCAAACGCACGTTTGAATTTCGTATAACGAGTAACGAATCACTTCTTTGAGAGGACAATTTACTAGCAAATCGACTGTATACAAATTATCATACTCCTCTCTATCTTTAATTGATTAACAATGATATCGACTAACTTCGGTAGTACAATAATACAATGACAGCTACAACTTAATAACATAATGACTTAATGGTACAAAATCACACGAAGTCGATGTCTTTCTCCCCAGAATGCTGTTTCACACGAATTCATTAGTCAGTGCTAGCCAATCGTTTCAAAGTGTGATGTAAAGCACGTGAACGATGCTAGAATCCGAAGAATCGACGCCGATTGTTTTTTGCGGGTACCAAACTAAACGGCGACCGAAATTGAGAAGAATGAGCGCCACCGGCATGACAGCCGCAACGGCAGACGTCAAGACCTTTGTTGTCAGTATGAAAATTTGTCAATACGTTCTAGATAAATCTCTAAAAATAAAACAATTTCTCTTCTTCTTCATATCTCAAGCAATCCTGTGTCGTCCTTCGTCTATATATTTCGCAAAAACTTATATGTACATAGTTTAAATACATACATTGTGACCATTTCACAATGCATTAATCATTAATAATCATCTTAGACGTCGACCGTTTCTCGAAGACAATTATTCTTTTAATTTAATTATTATTATTATTAATTTAATTTAATTCAATTCGTTTGTTATAAAATATTTTAATATTTTTGTTAATATTTTAATTTAATTCTTTTCTTTTATTCTTCTGTTAATATTTTTATTTAATTCTTTGCTTTTATTCTTCTGTTAATATTTTAATATTCAATTTTTCATTATTCTTTTATTGATATTTTAATATTCAATTTTTCATTATTCTTTTGTTAATATTTTAATATTTTTGTTAATATTTTAGTTTAACTTTTTG